AAAGCTTATAAAGATATTAATATAAAGCCTCTAAGGATACTAATATTAAATTATAAAAATATTAATATAAAGCTTTTAAGTACTATAAGCCTATATAAAGCTTATAAAATACCTATAAAGGTTATAATATAGTGTTATTATAAAGGTACTAGTATAAAGCCTCTAATAATATTAATATAAATAAAGAATACTTAAAACCTAAAGCTTATATAACCCTATAATAAGTACTAATTAAAATAACGTAAGTAATTATAGATATAGATAATTATAATTAGATAAGAAATATATTTTCTTTCTAATAAAGGGGATAATTTTTAAATAACTATTTATTTGTTTTAAAAAATTATTCAATTAAATAATTTCATTTTTAAATATAAATATAAATAATAATTTTTTATAATATTTTAATTTAATATATGGCAAAAAGCTATGGTTATATGATGGCATATTATATATAGAAGGATAGAGAAGGTTGATTAGAAAACTATCTATATAGGAGTCTGCTAGCCTATTTATATTAATCTTAGTATCTATTAGAAAAATATTCTTATTTTTATTCCTACCTTAGGGTCTAACTATATAACTTTATAATTATATAACCTCTTAACTAGTAGAATAGTAACTAGCTAATTCTATCTACTTTATTACTCCTACTTAAATAATTAATAAGATATTATTTCTAAACTCCTATTATATTTCTATTCTATATTATTATACTCTTACTAATTTATAATTACTTTTTAGTTAAATATATATACCTTATCTTTAGATCTTTTACTTTTTAAAAAAGTATATTACCTAGTAATACTATCTTTTAAATCTAAGATAAGGAGTATTTAAAGTAATAATCTTATCCTATCTAGCTTATATCTTAATTATATTATACTCCTCTTAGTTATCTTTTTCTTTTTATATATTTAATAAACTTCTATTAGGTTAAAAGGGGGATATTCTTTATTTACTCTTACCTATTATTAGTAATTACTAGGTATAGATTATAATCCTAAATAATTAGGTATTATCCTCCTTTTTAAGACTTAATTAAAATAATAGCCTAGTAGTACTAGGTATAGTCTTTTTATTCTTTAACTTTTATAATTAGATTTATATACTAAGAAGTATAAGCTAAATATTCTATTATTATTTAGGTATAACTTAATAGTATTAAAAAGTAGTTATAATTATTATAGTCTAGTAGTATAGAGATCTAGTTAATTTTTAAACATTTATTAAAGAAAGAGATTAGGTTAAGGTAGATATATAATAGGCCTAGCCTTTAAAATTAATAAAAAATTTTAAAAATTTAAGTATATGGTCTTTAAATTAGTTGAGGGTAAGAAAAGAGCTATAAAAATAAGATACCCTAAAGAATATATTTAATTTGGCTAAAGGTATAAAAGGAGGATTATATTATTATTTATAAATTATATTTATAGTTAACTAAGGCATTTACTAAGTAATATTAAAGAAGAAAACTAAGCAAGAGGCTCTATATCTATAGTTAGTAGTCTAGGTAGGTTAGAATAGGCTAAATATATTATATTTATTTTAATCTAAATATAGTTTAGAGTTTTATAAAGTAAGATTCTCTTAATAGTAGCTTTATTAAGATATTCACTATCTAGTTCTTTATAGAAATAAACTAAATATTAATAATACCCTTTATTTTTTTTTATATAAAGTAATATTATATTATAATATGTTTTATTGTTATATAAAATATTAGGTTCTTAATACTATAATACCCTAGTTATTATAGTATAAGGTTATTAATTTAGGTATAAGTTTATAGGAGCCTAAGTTAGGATTAATATAAATAACTATTACTTTTTTAGGCTTTTATTTAAAATAACTTAGTAGCTATTAAAGCTAGATAGCTTTTTTAATAGCTTATGTTTTACCTATATATTCTATTTTATAAGATAACAATATTATAGAGGTTTATTATTTTAATAACTAGCTAATTATATTTTTAAATTAAAGATATAACTTAAATAGAATATTATAAATAAAGACCTCCCTTATTAAGTCTATATCTATATATCTATAAAAGGGATATAGCTCCTTTTTATAAATAAAAATAAGACTAAGATCCTTTTAAGGTAATAAAGAACCTATTTTACTACCCTATGATAGATTATATTAGGCCTAGCTATAAAATAGCTTAGTACTAATATAATATATAAGATCTATATATATATATTCCTACTATTATATATATAAAGGATAATAATTTAAGTATATTAGGTTATTAAGTTAGGGTTATTTACCTTATCTAGTTTTATCGCTAGCTTTATATTATAGATCTATTAATAATAATCAGTATATAATCTTATATTCTAAATTTATAAAGTACCTTCTTAATATATCTTTATTAGGAGAATTAGATAATATAATTCTTTTTATTATATATAATAATTATCCTTAAATAGTAATTATAGGGGCCTAAGTTACTTATATAAAAATATTTATTAAAGGCCTTTTTAACTTTTTAAATCTTTATAATTAATAGTCTAAAGATTAATAAATTATTAATATAAATAATATATATTAAGTTATAATAAAAAATACCTAAGTCTATTAAGATTAGCTTAAAACCTTAAAAATATTAAATTACTTGATATTTTTAAAATATTAAATCTTTAATAACTACTTTAGTTTGTATAAAGCCTTATTAAGCTTATATACCTAAGTAGTCTTATTTTTTAGATTTATTAATTATTTAATATAGACTTTACTATTAAATAATATAGTATTACTTTAATAAAAAGTTATTTTAATATCTATTTGTTTAATTTCTTAATTTAATATAGCTATAATAGTAAATAAAGCCTTATAGCTTATTAGTTTAATAATTAATATAAATATTTTATTATAATTAATTCCTTTTTTTATTTAAAACCCTTAACTACCTATCCAGTATTAAACCTTAAGATTTCCCTGTTTAGCCCTTAATTTTATATATTTATTTTTCCTTTAGTACCTTCTTTCTTAAAAGTACCTATTCCTTTTTTATTATTTTTTAACTATTTCTTTAAATTTAGATCCTCCTATACCTCTTTAAAAGTTTTAGGTTTAAGTATCTTAGCTAGTCTAACTATTATAACTAAGAACTAATAAAGAATTTAAAGGATTATTATTAAATTATTAATTAAATATATTATATTAAGTATTAATTTATTTAAAGGGTTTAGTAATAAAGGTATATTATTAGTAGGTTCTTTTTATACTATATTAGATATTATCTCCAATATATTTCTTATGAAACTATTATCTTTATAGATTTAGTATTATTAAGACTATTATCTCCTTAAATAATATTTATTATTTTTTAGGCTATTTATAAATACTATTAGCTAGTTTAGTAATTTTCTTTATAAAAATAAGAGGTTTAAGCCTTATAAGTTTTATTAACTAGATAATCTTCCCCTTTAATAATAGCCTATAATTATTTATAAAAGGGTTTTAAAATATCTAGATTTAGTAGGTAAGACTATTCCTTATAAAAATAGATATTTAAAGATTAGATAACCTTATTATGAAAAGTAAACAGATAGTAGATATAATCCCCCTTATACCTTAAAAGCTTATATATTAGTACTTTAATATTAGTAAATTTCTTATACTTCCTCTCTATTTTTAGCGAATGAATAGATTATATAGCTAATAGTATAAAGATAAACTAAATTTAGTTTCTCCCTATACTAGGCTTTATATAGGGTCTTATTAATAACTAAACTTAGAGATTAGTTATATAAATAAATAATAATATAAAGTACCTCTAGTTATTATTTTAATTTAAGCCTAATACTAATAATTATAGTGTAGAACTTATCTATAATAATATAGTTAAGTAACGTAGTAGTACTATTTTATTTATATTAATTAAGAATAAAGGTTCTAAAACTATTTTTTAACCAGATTATACTTGCTGCAGAAAATCACCAATCTTGTTGGTATCTAGTTGTCCCAAATGACTACCGAATCAGCGTCAGCAAGAATGGTTGGACAAATGATGAGATAGGCCTCAAATGGCTTCAGGAGACCTTCGAGACATATACAGCTTCATGTACAGTTGGGAGATATCGCCTTTTGATTCTAGATGGGCACAGTAGCCATGCCACTGCAGAATTCGACAAGTTCTGTACAGAAAGGAAGATAATTCCTTTATATATGCCACCACATTCTTCTCATCTGCTACAACCGCTGGATGTGAGCTGCTTTTCACCATTAAAGTGCTTATATGGCCAGAAGACTCAGGAGATGATGCAGAGAGGGATCCATTCTATTGATAAGGAAGATTTCTATATATCTATCCTGTAGTCCATCAACGAGCTTTATCAGCATCAAACATCCAAAGCGGA